CGTCGGTGTGGGGCGCCTGCTTCACCTGCCTTCCCCTTTGCGCTTTGCAAGACCCTGTTGTGGCCTCTTTTTTTAATTTATTTTATTTTCATATTAGTTCAATATTTTGACACTTTGACAGTACACGCGATATTTTCACGGGTTCTTCTGCGGTCTTAGTACCTAACTACTCTTGCAAGTTACGCAGTGCTGTGATTCATTGAAACACTTTTGACTTGGAAGAAGCTGTCGTATTACCAGACTTTAAAAAAAACCAAACCACTTGATGTTAACTTGTTAGCAATCTGCCTGTAATCTTGCTTGCCCAGCAATGCTCTTTGCTCGCATTATTTTTAAAGCACAGCACACAGACCCCCCTCCCAAAGCCCTGTCATGGGGTCACTTAACTTTTTATGTGTTTTTAAGATTTAATTTGAGCCTACTCGCAATGCAGGTGTGTTTGGCATGTCTTCTGTTACAAATCTGTAAATCAGGTGCCTGAAGAATACTGTTCTGTTGGGGTCTGTTCACTCATTAAAAAAAACCACCCCAACAAAAAAACCACAAGAATTTTCATAAGTGGCTTTTGAATACATTTTGATAACACAAGCCAATTTGATAACATACATTACTTGTAGGAACAAATACTTACATATTACATGTTATTCTCCAAAACCAGGAGATCTTCTTTGTCAAATACCTGTGTTCAATTTGCTGGATTAAGGTGTGGTTACTTTCCAGTTCTTTAGAATACATAAAAATATTTTTTCTTCCTTCTCTTCCCTTGCTCCCTTAAACATATACTGTAAAGAAGATTAGAGTGTCTCTTATGAGAGAATTCCTAGATCAAGGTATTATCTGTTTAGCAAATTCAATACAGTTTATTTTTCCTGCTGGCAGGTATGATGGGAAGAATAACAATAAATTATACTTGTTGAGTGAGACTCATTATGTTGGTTATGTATTTCAAGAAATAAAGCCTCTATATTTCTGTATTTCCTCACCCTATAGTTTTGTTTTCTTTTCCTGTTTGTAAAATTAAAGGCTTGCATGGGAGAAAGATCTGCAACTGCCTGAAGTATTGTAAAGAAAACAACCACCAAAACCCCCACAACCCTTAGCTAGGCAAGAACACTTAGAGAACTTTGGATGTGTAGGGAATAAAATGTGTGCGATACAGTTTGTATAGACCTGGTTTAATTAGGACACCCACATGGGAAAACGGTGTTCTCGGGGATTTTAATGCTGTAGCAAGAATATCAGGATGAAATTTTTGTGGCTTACAGTGAGCAAATGAACGGCAATATGTTACCATCTTTTTTTGATGGTTAAAAAAATGGTCAAATGATGATGGCTCAAAAAAAGAAATTCTAATGCTATGTTCTAATGTTATTAGAAGTTTTCCCATAGAATGGAGGGATTTTTTTTAGAATTTATTTCCACAAAAATTTTAACTGAGAAATACGCATCTCTCACTTTTGCCGTAGGCTACATGCCCCCTGTTCCTGATGGTACATATTTCATGCATTGTTTCAGGAAATGGTACAGTTGTTGCTGTGCAGCTGGATGTTGCTGAATAGCATTTCTATGAGCTTGCTGTTCAATCTGTCTGTTGTTCAGAATGGCAAAGAACCCTAACTTTCAGGAAGTTGGTCATCTGCCTACAGGCTACGTCCACTGTAGATCTTCAGACAGCTTTATTGGTGAGTGGGCCAATGTATTTTCCTGAGATTTTAACTTAAGGGTTTAGGTGTACGCCATTTTAACCAGGTTGTATCAAGTGCATTAATACCTATTTTATATGTATGTTAATAAATAATCTGTATTTACTGTATTGTTCTTTGTACCTAGCTAAACTTATTCCTGCTCTTCTATCAGAGGAATACCTCTCGAGCAGAACGTAAAACAGTAGCACTACAGCACTTAAGTAATGGGAGTGTGTTTGCAGATGAGCAGTGCATAACTTTCTATATGCTTTAAGTCAAAACACTTTCGGTACTAATTGTTTAGAATGCTGTCATTGAATGGTGTGGTTATTTACCATTAACCAGAGTTAACATCTGCTTTTCTTTTAATCCTTTCGCAACAGAAGGGTTGGAGATGAGACTTAAAAGTTCTGTGAATTTAATTTACTTGGTCTTTCATATTCTATATGTATAAGTTCGTATTAGAACATGTATTTTTTTCCTTTTCTGTTACAATTTTCACTCATAGTCAACTTTTTTATTGTTATTTAGAAGTACAAAGGAGCTTCTGTAGCGAGGGTTCTGACAGAATCAAAGTATTTTCTTGAGTTATACTCTGCGTATGTTGAAATATTTACTAAAAAATTCCTATTTCCTGAGATGTTAGCTTATTGTACCAGAACTTAGGAGAACAAAATATTTTTGTATAAAAAGACATGCATATCCATTTAAAAAAACATATGGTTTGTAACAATGGTATGTTTATACAGTAGCCTTACTGTCACACCTACCATGTTCTGTGACTCTATGGTAATAGAAATTGTAATTAAAATAATATTTTGCTGAAATTTACTTAAAGTATAGCAAAATATTTTATGAAGTAATGAATTACAAAAAATTGAAGTACTACTCAAATCCTTTCCAATCAACTGAGAACCAATTCCTATTTCTAGATAAAATGGCAGTGTAAGAGAATTATATTTAAGTAAATTCCCTTTGTGTAATTCTGACAAAATCTGTATTATCTTGATAGGTACAAACTAGATGATGAAGGAATTAAGTGTTTCAAGGGTATGAAATAATTTGCTCAGTGTTTATAATCCAGACTTATTTAAAAAAACTTTTAATTCTAGCAAAAGTCTGTTTACTTGCATTTATTTCTAAAGTTTCAATAGGGTTATCAGTTATGTAAACATTTTTCGCTCATTTTATATGAAAAAAAATTCCAAATTATTCATGAACAATTTCTTAAATTCCTTTTTCTGTGCCTGGTATAAAACCAACTCTTACATGTTTCATTGAAACAGCATTGCCTTTCAGAGGACTCTTTAGTCACTATAGTCATAGCCCAGGTGAGGGGGGGAAGTGACTTAGTACCAGTCTTTATTGCGGCTCTGGTTTGAGAGTTGTTTAGTAAAGATGTCATAGGGGTTTTGCTGTTGTTGCTTCATTTTCCAGATGACGTTTTTGTATGCCAGAACATGTTACAGATTACTTACTAAAAAGAAATATAGCAGGCTGAAAACCGTGGGGGTTTTGTTGTTGTTTTTCTAGCCATGACACATATTGTGTAATACTGCATATTGCCTTATGTAATAAGTACAAGGCCGTGTTTTTCACGTGCTCACGGTTGAAGGTGGCCACCAAGAAGCGTGTCTTCTGGTGGGGTCTTGGACAGAAGTGATTTGTAGGCCTTCTGACTTAACCGATGCCTTTTGAGACAGTTTTAATGGCATCTCAAACTTGCTGAGAAGACTTGTTTAGGTTTGTTTATTTCTGTGGCATGAACAAAGCTGCAGCAGCTGACTGCTGAAGCGGTTAATTAGCTCTGAATACCTCCTGGAAATAGGTTATGGTGCTGACAAGAGGCTAGTAAATGGCTTGGCCTTTTATTCTGAAGTCGGTTAAATGTTGTTCTTTGACCGCCAGGAAGACTAAACACCTGTATTCTCTGAAAGGGGTGACATCATTTGATGACAGAAGATGCCAGAGGGATCTTCAGGAAGGGTTTTGCCAAGCTCCCGGCAGCATCCATCTTTTTTTATCGTAAATAATACTTTGAGTTGCAACTAGAAAAATACATGTTTAGCTATACAGGGAAGTTGAGAGCTCATAGCAACTTGCCACAACTAAAGCAGTATATTACTTTTTACTTCCTCAAACAAGAAATGTGCAGATCCCTTCAAGAGTTGACTGAATTTGCACCGTTATTAATCCAGTCTGGGAAGATCTGAAGTCATGCATTATTTGGTTCTATATTTTGAAGGCAGGACTGCTCTCACTGTGCTGCTTTTTATGGAAAATCCACAACACAGATGAAACTTGCATTGGAAATGCATAGTAGTAAACAAATAAATGAGTTTGAGTGCTTCTTCAATATACTAGTGTTACCCACAGAAAGCATACAAGGCATGTACATAGTTTTCATAAAGTTGCCAGTTTCCAACACTTTGTGTCATTCAGGCATCTGAAAGGCTCCTCAGCTAGAGGCTTGTAGCCATCGTTTTGAGTCCTGTATTCCCCGTGATCAGAATGTTCTTCTTTGAAATTGGCAATTTAGAATAGTACATTGTACCAGCAATTTGGAGAGCGTTAAACATCCAAACAAATTTGTCTTGCAGCTTACACACAGGGATTTCTAAATTTCTACTTTCATCGCTTGCTGTAGTTCAGGGTCTTGATGTTCATAAGAACTGGCATCATCGGCTTATTAGCAAGTGTCCCCAGTTCAGACTTTGCCCTCTTCTATACCCTGATTCTTGTTTAGAGAGAGGTTTATGTACCCTTCAGAGGGAAGTGTGCTTTTGATTTTATATATTTAACCTGAAATGGAAACAATTTTCCCTTGAACTTTTCATTCTGTTGGCACATGACAACATCCACAGCTACTGGAAGCAAAGTTATTGTGCAGCTGTTGGCATTCCCTTCTCTTTACCACTTTTACAGTCTCTCAGTTTTTATGCAGACAGTACCTGTTCTTATTTTTTAGAGATAAGAGTGGATCAAGGAAACAAAGAAGTAGTATGTAGAAAAAATGGAATTAAAAACAATTTTAAAACCAAAATGTACCTGTACTTGTACATGTATGAAGTATCATAAATGAACTTCCCTAATTAATTAAAATTGGAACTAGCAGAAAAGAGATAGTACAGAGTTGCTTGATAATGTGCATGTAACTCGCACGTAGTTGGGTTGCCTGACTGTGGTGAATGAAGATCAACAACAGCAACTATAGACTTCTAAGGTACAGAAGTCTTGAAGGAGTACTGAGGCTTGAGATTTGCAGCTGAGTAACAAATACATCCTTTTGTTTGCTCCTTTGGTGTAATAAAAGGTTTTATATTTTTAGGGTATTTCAATTTTACTATTGTCTATAAACTCTCAAATAATTATGTTGTGATAAATATTATTGCTAGTATAAGTAGATGCAACTGCACTGATGTGAGTTAAGTTAATCTTGCTTGATACAAAGTAAATGTTACTGGAAGTGTGTGTTGCGTAAATCTGTTCAGTGCAGAGTTGTCTTAGCTAATTGTAAATTAACCAGTGCGAATGGAAGAAACGGTCTGTTATTATGAAAAAACGTAAAAATAAGTTTACTCTCATGTCAGGATAGAAGAATGACTGTACAGTATTCTGTGTTCCCATGGTTAGGCTGCCTCCAGTATCTCGGCCAGTATTGCTGGTTTCACTCTGTAATGGCTACAAGGGCACACAGCTTCCAATTCAAGTAGCAGAGACAGCCTGAGAAAAGCTGGGGGTTTGTTCCCATTTGTGCTGTGATCTGTATTATCAGTTTAGTATGCTGTATTTTTCTCAAATCTTATTTTCTATTTCTATCACTTTTTCTAGTTTTGTTTTAAGTTCCATGGGACTGTGTTTCTACAGTATCTTCATTTTGGGTTAAGTGTTTCCAGGTGTTACAGAAGTGCAAATAATATTTAACCCCAGCTGCATGTGTTTTCTTTGTTGAGGTAGAAATGACTGGAAACAGATGCGTATTTTCTCATAATACTTTAAAAATATAGCTTAAAAATGCATTTATGTCATGAATATTTCACTTGAAAAATTAATGTGTTAGCTGTGTGCAGGGTATGTCCTTGTCCTGGTTTCAGCTGGGATAGAGTTAATTTTCTTCCTAGCAGCTGGTACAGTGCTGTGTTCTGGATTTAGTATGAGAATAATGCTGATAACACACTGATGTTTTAGTTGTTGCTAAGTAGCGCTTACACTA